ATATATATATATATATATATATATATATATATATATATATATATATATATATATATATATATATATATATATATATATATATATATATATATATATATATATATAATTTTTATAAATATATATATATATATATATATAGGTGTGGATGTAGGGTGTGGGTGTGTGGGTGTGGGGGGTGTATATATGGGTGCTTGTTGAGAAGTTAAATACTGTATATCGATTAGTGTGAGACAGGCCACACACGCGTGGCACGCATGATACTCAGCCTCATTTCCCGCCAATTGAAATTACACACAAGCCAAACGGGAAAATCTAGAGAAGTTGTATATTTGCACACGGTCTATACTGATATCGGACATATGGGCCCCATCAACCTCGTGCAGCTATGGACGTTTGGCTCGCGGTTTACTAGCAGACTGTCATAGACTGCCCATCATTCTACAGCACAGGCAGTAGCCCGCGTGTACATCAGCTGCTTTTTGACTATTTTCCGTTCTATTCCAGTACAATCAGCATAGACTGTCCTAGACTGCCCATAATTCTACAGCATAGGTTGTAGCCCGCGTGTACATCAGCTGCTTTTGACTATTTTTCGTTCTATTCCAGTACAATCAGCAGCAGGATCTAGTCGTCATATTCTCGTGCGCAGTTTTGCGAGCGCTGGAGGCGAAGAATATAACACAGGTACTATATGAGACCCGGGCCCGTTCTGATTATGTCGCAAATAGTGCACCTGCGTCTTCGCTGTCCTTCCAGTGTTCTGTGTGTTTTTACGATTCAAAATGTACACAATCGTCGCTGTACAAGCTGTGTGCGCAATTGAAATTCGTATCACGCTTCGTGAATATCCTTCGCAAGACATGTGGATGTGTGGTATGAGCTCATACCTTCGTTGTCGTTGCATGTCACACACATCACCCATTCAGTCCGTTTCGTTGGAAACGCTCGCGACTGTGCAAATTTTCGATGCCGTGCGCCTGCATAGTACCAAGGCCTGTACGAGTTCGAATATGTAAACTCACGCACCATACGTATATATGAATGTATACCAGCGATGCTTAACCTGAACCTGCCTACATACTCACACAGGATATGATTGACTTCTATGAACCCGGGCTCATGTATGCTATCCCTCGACTGGGCCTTCTGTGGGGTCTGCGTGTGCAGCCCGATGCTCTTGCCGTACCAGACACAGTCACCAGCGATGTTCTCTTTTACTTCCACACAGCTTTTGAGCAAGTCAAGGCTCTTAAGACGGAGCTTATGGAACTGCAGGATGTATGTGTCTGTGTCTATGTCTATGTCTGTGTCTGTGTCTGTGTCTGTGTCCGCGCCTGCGTCTTCGTCTGCATGTGTGTGACTGTTTGTATCTATACGTTGTATATTGTAAGTATATTTTTGGGCTTGAAGTTCCCACTGTGTTACGTTTGCCTCTCCTTCGTAAAATCACGGGATACGGGTTAGTCTGCGTTCTGTTGGACCGTACTATCGTCTCAACTAATGTCTGGGGCGCGTGTTTCCTATTTGATGCCAGTGTCCATTTTTCCTGTTCTATATGAATATTTGATATCATTGTCTGTGCTTGGGCGACTGTGCGGCTTCCCAGTCTAATTTGGCTGATTGACACCTCATGCTTTTACAGGGGGAAATGGAACAACTAGAGAAATACATATGTGCCTTCCTGCATGAGGAAGATCAGCCTCCGCCATGGCTACGTAGGTATGTATAAAACACCGGACGACGCAAGCTGCCGGTGGCTAGATATAACGTCACGCAAAATCGCATATTTCTAGGTGTGGTAGTCTACTACCAACACCGATCCAATATCTTGGACACCGCTCGGTCATCTGAATACACACATGTTTATACAGTTAGATTTGTGTGTGCCTGTGTTGTATGCGTACAGTGGAGCGAGTTCGTGTATAGCAATGTCTGGCACGTCTATAGCAACTTCAATACTTATTGCACACACATGGAGTTGCATGATATTCTCACTACGTGTTACACGGCTGTACTCTATTCGCGACATCAGATAAGTGGTTGAATAGGTAGTCTGATGTCTATTGGTTTGCCCTGAACACTCCACTCCCATATCCCTGCCTATTTTCGCTAATATATTGAGGTGAAGACGTACCTACATACACGGTAACAAGGTTATACTCAGACTTATGTTCAAGATAAATTATCACAAGGGTACCGTCAGTTGCTTAGTCGATCGTACATTGGTGCCAGCTGCTATCCACGATTTATCTAATTACTAGAGGGGACACTATCATATATGATGGACTTTACTGGGTAAGGGTGCTGTAGGGCTCCCAATCAACAATAGGTTCTCTATACTCCAGCACACTCTTTGGGTTAGGGCTTACCGGGCTTACCCCCTGTCTTTTATTCCTAGCCAAATATCATCCATTTTACAATTATGAAAAGAAACCTACTTTACAATATGTATTTTCGCCCGCCACTTAAAAAAGAAAAAGGTCAGCAAACCAAGATTATTTTAGTGCCTCGGGGGCAGGCTGTGCACTGATCTCGAAGACTCGGGCAACCCCCGGATGAATATATAACCCCCACGCGTACTTGCACCCTCTGCCCACCTATCATATGCTTATCTCTCCTCAAATATAAATATGCTACGCTCCCCTGCCTTATGTTACCTTCTATTTTACCTTACACTCCCGTGCCTTCTTTTGACTAGAGGCTGCCTTTTTTCTCGTAAACCACTATAGAAGTATACAGGACTCTACACTGAGTACCATTACCTATAGTACCTAATGGGTACTTCCCACTACCACTAGCCACCCTCACCTCCCATGCGGTCTACTTACCCACACTCAATTTGTTTCTCACTATAATAGTAGGGCGTAGCTGATAGCCCCAATGCACTGCCGTCTTCGATTATAATCAAGAACCCAAATCCCTAAGACAACCTTACTTAACTCTGCAAGGCGAGAGTCTGCTATTCATATTTCCAAGACGCTCCGTTTAATGTGGACCACATACATCTGCGCTATCTATCCTCACTGACAATACTTCTTAACCTCCCCACACTGACAATACTTCTTAACCTCCACACACTGACAATAATTCTTAACTTCTTAACCTCTACACACTGACAAAACTTCTTAACCTCCGCACACCACACAGCATTTCGCGCCAGGCGTCCGAGGTAGACTCGCCCAAAGGCATCATCAGCCGCATGCCGTCTCTGAGTTTAGTCTCCATTGGATCTGAGACTGTCGTGGGTGAGTCCCCTGCAGGCTGTTTATCGTTGTGCCACTCGCATAACGTGATTCCTTTGTGTAAACTGGGACTGTGCTGTCTGCCTAAGTGGACTTTTGGTGTGTTGTGTTTCATGTTCTGCTCGAGTACTATTGTGCTGGTTATCAGCGACCTTGCTCTATCTTATGTGGTCATGTATGCGCCAAAGGTTGGCTGGTCTTAGAATAGCATGTATGCCGCAGCACTATACTTTGAAATATACTCATATGCATGTATATACAACTATATATATATATATATATATATATATATGTGTGTATGTGTATGTGTATGTGTATGTGTATATGTGCGTGTATAGAATGTGTATATCTATATACGTATATGTATTTGTATACTTCTATATATGTATATTTGTAACTGTATGTGTTGAGTTGTTTCCATCTCGGTTCACCACGTTTAGCCCACTTGGAGGCGGTAGGCGTGGTGGATGCTCGCCTGGCTGTTATTGCACCCGTATGCGCGAGCCGCTAGCATAAAGGCGTGCAATTACTTTGTATTCCACAAGTGTGGACGTGTCTCGCCTCCTGTTAGTTTCAGGACACAGCGCACGCACGGCTCTTTTCCTCATAATAATATGTATCTAGTCATCGCCATTGCATCAGAGTGCAACAACTGGGCATTCGTATCAGTTTTGTATCTCCATCATTTCAATTCGGTTGCTCGAATCATCACACAGTAGCACATTCAAGGTCCCTCGAGTATTCCATTGAACATTCCACTTTGTACCCCCTATACATAGCGGCGACAGCTGCAGGTCCGGAGAGTAGCAACAACGATACGCACACACGCGTTCATCCACACGCGAATCAGGCACCTACACACACGAATGAGATCTCAAATGCCGATGGGAGTGCAACGAATGCTGTACCGGATCAGACAGGTTCAGCGGATGCTGGCGAGAGCGAGACGAATGGCAGTAACTATGGCAACGCAGCATATCAAGAAAACGGGCTACCATTAGTGGAACCCGCCGAGCCGATAGTGACGCTGTCTGCTGCGGTGTTTGGGCTGATCTCGCGGCAGGGAGCGGGCGACAGTAGAAGTGGTACTGGACAATTAACAGGAAATATGCCTTTCGCACATCACACTGAACAGTCCGAGTCGCGGTTGCAGGGTACGGTACCCGTGAGTAGCACGCACGCACTGTGGAGCGTGGACGCAGACACACAGAGCATACCGCCGCATACACACACGCCCGCGTGGAATATGAGTCCCAACCCCAACGCACGTGGCGAAGGTACCGAACCGACCGGTGAGTTGCTGGAGGAGGAGGGCCAGGTGGGCTCCTTCAAGGAGCAGTATGAGCATGTGCTGAGGTCCGGGAGTATACCCCACGCACGTGACGAGGTGATGCATGTCCACGTGCGCACCCAGCGAGCGGTAGGTAGGAAGAATCCCGGAATTAAAACCGGGAGCGGGAGCGGAGATGAGAGTGAGAATGGGGGTGGGATGGATCTGCAACGGTCGGCCAGTGAAGGCTGCAGTGAGAAGAGTGGCATCAGCAGAAGTAGCTCAGAGGTGAATGCCAGCAGCAGCAGAAGTCTAGACAAGATAGATAGCGAACGAGAGGGTGCGTGGGGCAATAATAGCGAGCGGGAAGGGGCGGTGAAAGGGTGCCAGGTGAAGGGCATGAGTGAACACGAGAAGACAGAGAAAGGTGTAGTGCATACGCAGAGAGAGGATGAGCGTGTATCGAGTGAACATGATATTGAGGGCTTTGTGGTGCGTGGTACTGAGCCAGGTGATGAGATGTCTGGCGATGAGAGGGTGGCCGTGTCGTCGCACGTGACCATAGATACGACTGCAAGCGGAAGGACAGGCGCAGAAGCTGATAGAGATACAAATACGGATACAAAAACGGCCACGACTGACACCGAGACGAACACGATTATGAACGCAGCTATAGTAGACCTACATGCACACGCGAGTGTGACTATTCGTACCACCACAGACATAGATACAAACGACACACAGATAGACACATCAAAGAGCGTATGCTCCAGTACAAACGCACCCACCGAAATGACAGAGGATCATGTAGATAACCTCGGGGTGTACAGGCGTGGTAGTTTGGGCAAAGGGAAACACGACGTGCACAGACCGAGTGGGACTGCGATTAGAGTTGGCATGCACGCACACACACAGGTTTTGTCACCCGCGTTTGAGCACAACCACGTCAACAGCAGAGATATAGACAGAGCCGCAGATACAGTGGACGGAGAAGAGCTCCGGAGTGGAAATGCGGGAGATGTTCGGGACGATAGCCAAGTATATCGAGACATGTCACCTGTCGAAGTAGCCAAACTTGGCACGGACGAGAGAAATGTAGGCGGGGCGGGAATGTCACAAAAACACATGGAGAAAGGGGTCAGCGACGCACGCTACCAGCGTCTGTTTCTACAAATAGCCCAGATAGCGGATCATTTACAGAGTGGTGAATATGCTAAGGATGTGCGAACAGTCTTGAAGACAGTGTTTGCAATGCACATGAGCGAAGACTCGGACGATGAGAGTGATGACGTGGCTGAAGGTACACCAGAGCCGGGGTTTTCAAGCAGCCAATTAAAGCAGGGAGAATCAGGGGCGGAGGAGGCGGACTTCCCGGAGACAAATATATATCGGGACCTGAAATCGGAATCTGGTATGAATAGAACAGGCCTGACTAAGCGTCCAGTGGTGGCCACGGAAGATATTGAAGCGAATGTCTATGGAGGTATTGGTGTGGATGAGCCCGGCCGTTCGCAAAACACAAGACTATCACACGCCAACCCGGCTTGCGTACACTCTGCTGGAGATCATGATATGCCTGTGTCTGAAGCTTGCCTGATGGACACGGGACACAGAAGTCCGGAAAGCGCACGTGGACGTGAAAATACCGAACATTCCCGAAGAGGGGGAAATGACTGTGATAAGGAATACAGTGGCGTTTCACCACCGGGTATTGCAGGGGTGTGTGAGACGTTGGGTCCCGCTTTAGCGCTATCGGCCGAGATAACGGGACTAGGTGGTCGGTCGCCGGAGCTCCAACCGCCACAATTGCACCGAGGAGAGTCGCACAGCAGTGCGAACGGAGAAGTCCAAGACACCAGTATACGTAGCTCGGGCAGGTATACAAATAGAAATATGGACGATAATGGGAGTGGGAGCGAGCAGGGATCGACAGGGACTAAACATGCTCGAGCTCAAAAGATACGGTCCGTTTCCACCAGGGGTTTAGCGCATTTGGAGTCTTCGCCTAGCATGAATGCCAGAGGATCGTGCAGTGCCGCGAATAACAGCCACAACATGAGCAATATGAACACCATGTGCGGTCCTACACAGGGTCTCAACGCGCTTTTGCCGGGAGGGGCAAATACACCCATGCGTACCATGTATCTCCGGCCCGAGTGGGCGAACGATGAGGACGTGAATGAGTGTGCACGGTGCGAAGAGACCTTTAATTGGACACGCAGGCGACACCACTGCCGGAGTTGTGGGGGAATATTCTGTGCTAGTTGTGCGAGTAATTATGTGACCATCGACAGACTGGCGTATACAAGGCCAGTGAGAGTGTGTGGAGACTGTTATATCTGTGTGCGCTCACTTGTTTTAGCACAAAACAACCAGAATGCCTCACCGTAGTACAATATTATGGCATTCTTCGCAGGCACTCTGGTAAATTTCGATATTGGGGAACAAAAGTAAATATATAACATTAGCCCAAGCGTAAGGCTTGAAATAGGAATACCTATGTTGGTCATATAGTTGAAGCTTGGAGTTGATTAAAACTCCCTTTGGAAATAGGTAGGGTATATATCGAAGATATCCGATTTGTAATGATAGCGAGCGGGCCTGTCCTGTATGAAGAACCCTTCGTGAAATCATAAATCTCGGTGGGTCTATCATCGATGATTTGCACGCACAACGTGCAACAATATGCTTGTATAAGAATGTGTGTGTATCAACAGCAGCGCGGTACTCGGAAAAACTACGATTTAAACTTTTGAATTACAAAATATGACCTGCCCGAACAGAGAAGAATATGTTCTGTTTGTCACCTGGATATGTTTTTCAATGTACGCCAGTATGTCCTGTGTACTTTAAAAAAAACGTTACTGAGACACATCAAAGATTTCTGACTCAGAACGAAGGGCCAAAACAATCGCGGCAGGGTGGAATGTTGTTGGTGGTGGTGAACTAGTGACATCGTCAGTTTCCCACGCGTCTACGACGCCCTTGCCTTTAACTCTCCAGTCGCGCTCTGCTATTAGAGAGAGTAGTAGGGCCCAGGGCCCCTGAGGCCTGATGTCTTCACGTTTGGTTTTTTAAAAACAAAACAACCAAAAAACAAAATACAGATTTTTAGTCAGAAATCTCAAATCTCGAATCTCAAATCTCAAATCTCAAATCCGGCCTGTTTGTTTTTGTATTGTTTTTAAATACACCCCAATGACCCCCATCCATCGATTTTTAAAAAGAACCAAACCTAATTGGCACCGCCGGGCGCCAACTGTCGATATGTTCACTAAAAACCCTAAAACAAACCACAAGAAAAAACATCTAATGAAGGCTATGGAAAAAGAAGCAAAGAGAAACATTAAAAGTTAATACTATTGTTTTAATAAAATAATAGTAAAAATTACAGTTTCGGAGTTGAGATTCGAGATTTCTGACTATATTTAAACACTTTTCTGTTTGTTTGTTTTATACAGAAACAAATGTTAAAATTTGTTTTTGACATTTTTATTAATATTTTTCCAAAATAAAGTAGTTATTTGTATATTTTTAGCTGAAAAAATACCCCCAGTTTTTTTAAAACAAACATGAAAAAAAAGGTACACCCTCGCAACTTGTCCCTGACCGCCACAGCAAAAAAAAGAACATCCAACAAGTAGGCATCTATAGGTGCCTTCTGATTGGCCAAGGGGTTTTGGGGTACTTTCATCGTATTTTTACTGTTCTGAGCGTCATAGAATCCAAACAATTCGTTTCGAAATTAATTCATTTGTTTTTGTCGACTCGGGCTTAATAGGGTAGAATCTGTCTTAGCTATCCGAGTCCTATTTGCTTGTACTAACTTATCAAATTCGCGTTGCATACGTTGCAATTCTTGTCGTAGCTCCAACCTTTCACATTCCCTGCCTCTGAGAGTTGGTGTGAGTATTCCAATACATCTTCAACCCACTTAGTTGCTTCTCCTAGTGAGCTATCTCGTAATTCTTGCAGTCTCTCCGTGTCGGATATCCCTTCCTGATCATTGTACTGTGATGCAAACGTGTAACTCTCCACTTGTTCACTTTCACTATCAATATCACCAAGAGATACAGCTTGTTCAGTATTTTTGCTTGCACGTATTTCATCAAACTCATCTACATCCTTGGGTGTGCGATATATAATTTAAATGAGTTCTTTGTGGAACAATGCATTTGATGCAGTAGCTGAGATAATATCATTGTCCCACTCCACATCCATCCAAGCCTGTACAAATTCATTCCATCTCTCCTGAGGACTAGATGATTCTCCTGCAGCACTATCCACACCATCAATATCCATAACATCAGTTGCAGAATCTGTGTCCAAGATTTTTGTGTGCACTGGCATCTTCTCTACCATTTCAGTTAGATCACAAACATCTGTCGATTTATTTATAATATCCTTCAATCACTCCTCGCCCGCTTGTGAAGCAGAAAACAACTTGTATGAAAATATTGACCAATCATATTGCTTAAGTGGACATCTATCAAAGTAGACAACTAAAAAGTTGACAGGTTGCGAGGGCTGACTGAGTTGTTCTCATGCCTGTTGGTACAGTGAAGTTTGATACAATAAATAACCTCAGCACACCGAAATTCTATACACCGTCTAGAAATCTGGTCCAGTGTATCTCTACTCGAAATTTTAAGAATAGTGCAAACCTGCCCGGTAGTTAAAAAAAAACAATATTTACACGGACTATTTTTTTAACTTCACAAAATGAGCGTCCGAAGAACTTTTTATCCACTTTCCTTTATGTTTTTTCAAAAATCAAACAAACAAAAAAAAGAGGAGAAGAATAGAAGTAAATAAATAAATATTTAAATAGTCCTTCGGACGTTAGTTCGATCCCACATATTTTGATATTTTTAAAAAACAATTCTTCTCTTTCTATGTAGAGGGTGATGATGTTAGAGGGTCATGATATTTTAAATTTATTTATATACCAATTTTAGAAAACTAAATACAGTCATACCTCTTTATATGTCCAGTTCCCACAGTTGGCAAATATTTGGACATATAAAGAGGTAAGACAAGTCTGGGTCAGTTTCATACCATCAGGTTCGGGGTCCAACCTATGGGAGTATGGGTCACACCAGGAGGAATTCTAGGCACAATCATTAAATACTCCTTCCCTTTCGTGACGATCAAGCCCGGATTTACACTAAAACCAGCTTCTCTAACCTTACTGACCCACTCAATCAAACGCTTCTCGAGCTCGTGATGTGTTCCTCTCCTTTCTCGATATTTCTTTTTTGCATGTACCTCATAAGACTGACTGAGTATCTTCTCTCCGAACTCCATGAACCTTCTTATCCTCTACGATAGTTGTCTTTCCATGATAGGTCTAAGCTGTATTCCGCTTTCTAGATTGTACGCACGATGACACATTTATCTTTGTTTGTTACATTGATTCTTTTTGTTGTATTGGAGCTCACCTTTGATAATACAGTCGGTTTATATGTTTTCTTCTTCTTACCAACAGTGAGCTTATCTATTATCAAACTAGATACTCCTTTCATACCAGCCGATATATCCTGCTTGGGCGTCGACTGTGGTTTGAATCCGCCTGGTTCACTCGTTGTAGGTGCGTTTTGTGCCAATTCGTCTGGCTCTGTCCGTCTGTTATTAGTGAAATCAGACTCCCACATGTCATTCGGTGGCTGGCATTTATCTGTAGACAGGCAGTAACCAATTGAATTTGAGCTATACCCCTCACCAAGATGCGCGCCACAAAAGGCATATATACCTCGATCGCAACCAGCATATTTGTGTACACCACCCACTGGGTGCGTTGTAGTGCATCCTTTCGCACAACGGCGTTCACTACTAGAAGTGTCTCCCATCAGGATCTATTGTAGTACGTATTCTAGTGTATGTATTATAGATAAAGCTACCGTCAAGCTGAGGTGAAAGGTGAAATATTCACACATGGAAACCTCCAAGAGCGGTTGGCCAAAATAGAAATTGGACATATAAAGAGGTAGACACCCTAAAGAGGTGGACATATAAAGAGGTATGACTGTACATCATTTTTAAAATTGGTACTTTTTTAAAAAACAAAAACAAAATATAAAATACAACTATGTACCAAAATCAAGCAAAAATTCCTGGCAAATATTGGTTTTTTAAAAAGACTACTACTCCCATGTAGAGAATCTACATAGACTCTGAGACTACTCTAGAGAGTAAAGACTCTCACATTCTCTCTCTCCAGTCTCTACTGTAGCAGTCTACTCTAGCTAGAGCTAACATTAGTTCTCTCCCTCTCTCTACTACTAGTAGCTAGTACTAGTAGAGACTCTAAAGACTATTATAGTAAGTGACTAGGTGGTGAGTTGGTGGCTGGTGACTGGTGACGGACCTCTATATTATCGTATATTTTTAAAAACAAATAGATAAATAAAAAAGGAGCTGTCAAGTATCAGAAATGACAATGTATTTGTAATTTGTTTTTTTAAATAAATAAAAAATTGTATGTACTGTACTTTGTTTTAAAAAATATATATATAATGTAGGGCAAAGTTGGGGGTGTCCAAATAGAAAAAAAAGTTATTTTTGGTTTTGTGCGAGTCTTGAGTTTTGACTCTTTTTAGTTTAAAGTATTTAATAGAGAGCGACAGAAGACATAAGTATGAGGCCACGTGGCACGTGCCCACGTCCAGTCACCGGTCAACTTCACCACTGTCACCAGACCAGTCACCAGTCACCAGTCACCAGTCACCAGTCACCAGGCTGGGCTGAATTCTGGAACTTTGGAAGCCGAAACTCGAAAGTCCAGTTCTTTTTTTGGGATTGTTTTTATTATTTAAATAGCCACCCTCTCTATAATCTCTCTAGTAGTAGCGAATAGTATATATTTTTTGAGGTTTACATACGAAGCATTTCTCTATTTTGGAGCAAGGACTGGGAGGACAAGGAATGTTATTTTTAACTTCAGGTCTCCTCTCTCGTGGGCTCCTCAAGTCTTCCGGGCTCCTGCGGGCCCAGGGCCCAGGCTGTTCTACCTCCCTTTTCAGTTTTCTGAGTTTCCCGAATCCTTCCCTGTCTCGAGCCAGACTTCATGAATCGTGAGGCCTTTCTACATATATTTAGAGAGAGAGAATGAAAGCGAGAGGTGCTTATGACCATATGTATGTACAACTTAACAAAAATATTTATGAACGTTTTTACACACAAGTTCATACTCTTCTCTCTTGTTGTTGTTGTGTGTAGTAAATACGTTTTCAAGAGAAAATGAATGCAGGAATTTTACAAATAAGTCCGTTTGAATAATATTCACCCTACCGCCCGACGTCGTACGTGGTATGACTGTATTTGTCACTGACTTCACTGTACACCCAAGGCAGAAAAAACATTTATGTTTTTAATTTTTTTTTACAGCTATTAACTTCTTCCCTTCTTTACTATTGTGTTTTTAAAAAAATATTCAATATTGTGCCAATCTTACACCAAAATTTACTCCGGAATTGAGAACTTCGTTCGAAGTCAATAGTGTTTTTTAAATATATGTATATTTGCTAATAGCCTAGTTTTGGTTTGAATACATATTTATATCTGCAACTTCAGGGTTTTTTTTATCACTTTTTTCTCGACCCTAGAGAGAAGAAGAGAACGCTATTTGCTTATAATCATTATGAGAGGATTTTGTGTAGTGGTGGCTTCGCTTTTGATAGCGAACAATCTCGTTGAAGTTAGCGCAACGCCAGGAAGATCAACCATATATGCACCTCATGATATTGCTTCTACAAAGTTGGACCAAATCATCGTGAAGATGGATAAAGGTAAGACTTCCGAAGCGTTCGAGAGTCGATTTAAGGTGAAAAAGACTGCACGAGCAAAACGTATTACAAAAACTACCAAAAAGAAAAGGGTGAAAGTGGTGAAGGATGTAGTAGAATCCGCTGATGGTGACGAAATTGAGGTTGCAGAATATATAGAAGAAGAGGTAGAAGCAGACAGCGTCGAGGATCAAATGGTGTACCATGCGAATACTGGGGAAGAAGATATAATTGCTTTTGCGGGCATCGACGATCTGGATCTGGAAGATATACTGAATGATCCAGACGTCGAATCCGCTGAGTACGTCTGCACATACAGAGTTGGCGCAGCAGCGCCTAGACAAGTGGGAGCAATCAATCTTCCTTGGCATTTGGACAGAATCAACCAGCGTACATCTGATTTGGATGGAGATGCAACAAATGTGAACGCTCAACAGTTAGGAATTAATGTGAAGGTCTTCATTGTCGATACGGGAGTCGATATCACACACCCAGTATTCACAGCTGGAAGTGCTAAACATTGCTACAATGCGTTTGAAATGGATGGTGTAGGTCCTGACGACAGTTACGGCCACGGTACACATGTAGCCAGTCTCGTTTCTGGCGTAGGATATGGTATGGCCACACAGGCGAAGATCAGAAGTGTGAAAGTCCTAGATGCTGAGGGCGGTGGCGACACTCTCACTATCTTGGCCGGACTTAACAAAATCCGCCGTAGAGTCACACGAGACAAATCCGGGGACAGGCACGTTGTTGTCATGAGTCTGACTGGTCCTCCTTCAAATATGATTGATGCAATGATTGTAAAGCTCTTTTTGAACAACGCGTTAGTGGTGGTAGCGGCTGGTAACTACGCACAAGACGCATGTAGCTACACTCCTGCCCGCAATCCCGCTGCGCTCACAGTCGGAGCAATCAATAAGGATGACACCATGACCACCTTTTCCAATTGGGGTAGCTGTATTGACATTATGGCACCGGGCGCTCAGATCACGGCTGCGGTGCCTAACGGGCAGTTCGCAACCTACGACGGTACTTCCATGTCGGCTCCAATCGTTGCAGGTGTAGCTGCGAGTCTATGGAGCCAAGCTCCCAAAATGACAGCCCGCCAAATCAATCGACAACTGGTTATCGGCTCTACATTGGGAGCGTTGATGGGCGGCGGCTTTGACTTTGGTACACCTAATCATTTGATTTTCTCTAACTTGGTGATTCAAAAGGTGACCATGTCCCAGTTCCGAACAGGCGAGCTCACTATGGAGATTTTGAAAGGGTTTGCTGGGTTTGACGGTGTTCCAGATGCATCATCCGAGGGCGAATGGCAGGAGCAGCGCCGCAGGTGGTACGGTAGCTCATACGAGGCGAGTAGGCGCTATTATGGCTCGTTCTTCGTAGAGGATACAGGGGCTGTTCTATCGTACGCTGGCGTAGGAGCCGCCGAAGTGACGCAGGACGGTCGTGCGAATGTCAATGGTATTGTTGTAGAGGGCGATATTGTGGGTGGTGATTTCTCACCAATGGGATCTGCTGGTTACATGTCGATCGATGCCTTCATGAATATGATTGGTATGGCTGGTGCAACACTTTATGATTTTAAAAATGGAATCGTGAACAGTGCTGTCACTGGTGTGAGCGATACTGAGTTCATGGCTTCTCGAAGACGATATCGTGGAAGATGATCGTTAATACGTCATCATGCTATGAGAGAGTTTGATGGCGAAAAATATATTGATGTATATAGTAAAACTTTAGGTGCAGGCAAAGCACTCCGGAATAATAAAGATATTGGCAAGGGTACAGTTGCAACCTGGATATTCAGAACGTTTAATCTTTTATTTTTTGTAACGTGTTCATAGCTTCTTGCTAAAGATTCATAAGTCGTTGTACATGAATACAATATAGCAGTTCAGCTTAAAACCCTCAACTAACAATATTGGCACAAAAAACTAAAAGTCTATCATAAGCATTTGTTTATATATATATATA